TGGATTATAAAAAAGTTAATATGCACATTATGTTCAGTACGATTGACTCAATAACTTTATTTTTAATTTTAACTATTCTATTCAGTAAACCAAAAATAAGTAAAACAAAAGTACACACCAATTGAATAAACACATCAAAATTTAAAACATACACCGACACGTGTTTCTACATTTTTGCATTATCAAGATTACCTTTAGAAAGTCTCAGAAGTAACTATGAATCTTAGTAAATCCTAATGAAATAAATACACCGGCACAAAAAAAAAAGTTGTTTGTACATTTGACGCCACCTACCTCCCGACATGTATTTCGACCCGCTGAAACCGAATTTGAAGTCAGTTTGGACCGTACACCCTCAAATATGGAGTAAATTGAAAAACCGTAAAAAATAGCCAAAATTGGGTGTTTCGGTAATAAAAAAAATGTTGTGGATCTAAACCAAGCCTAATTTTTATGTATATTGATCCGCTGAATACGAATCTAAAGTATATTTAGACCATAAGCCGTTTTAAATCTAAGTAAATTGTAAAAAACCCTCGAAAATTGCTAAAAATGGCAAAAAATTGTGATGATGAAAAAAATTTTGTAGACCCGGATCGAAGAGGATTTTTATGTAATTCGATCTGCTGAATCCGAATCTGAAATATATTTGGCCCATTAATCCCTCAAAATCTCAACAAATCGCAAAAAACCGATAAAATAGCAAAAAATTGCAGTTGAAAAAATTGAAAGAAATCTATGAAACACGATTAAATACGTTTCTTGTATTTTTTTATGCATAAAATACAAGTTTAGAATCTGAAAATGTGAAAATTGTAAAATCTATAAAAAATTACGTATAAACAGAATGAAAATTTTTTTCATCAACATATTCACATTTTTTTGCCATTTTTAGCAATTTTCGAGGTTTCTTTCAATTTACTTAGATTTAAAATGGCTTATGGTCTAAATATACTTTAGATTCGTATTCAGCAGATCGAAATACATAAAAATTAGGCTTGGTTTAGATCCACAAAATTTTTTTACTGTTTTTCAATTTACTCGATATTTGAGGGTGTACGGTCCAAACTGACTTCAAATTCGGATTCAGCGGGTCAAAATACATGTCGGGTGGTAGGTGGTGTCAAATGTACAAACAACTTTTTTTTGTGTGCCGGTGATATTAATAGCTTCTGAGAACAAAATAAATTAAATTATATAGTGGATTCCCCGTATGGTTAGAAAAATTTAAAACAAATTAGGTGTCCTCTTTTTGGTAAAAGTTTAAAATATGGAATGAAATGAAATATAATAATGCTAAAAATTTTTTGCTAATTATTATTTTCTAACTTTTACAAAACATATCACAGATAAGTATAACTATCTTTTTAAAAGATTATTTTCCCAGCTATTTGCCAAAACGATGAAACTTGGATTATAAAAAGAAAATATGCACATTAAATTTAGTACGACTGACTCAATAATGTTATTTTTAATTCTATCTTCAGTAAATCCAAAAAATAACTAACACAAAAGTAGCCATTAACATTTATTGCATTAGAATTTACTAAGATTCATAGTTACTTTCGAGGCTTTCTAAGGGCCATCTTGACAACGCAAAAATGCAGAAACATGTCGGTGGATTTTTAAAGTTTTAAAGTGATTGTTCAACTGGTTTTACTGTACAGAATAGTTAGAATTAAAAATAACATTATTGAGTCAGTCGTACTGAACATAATGTGCATATTATCTTTTTTTATAATCCAAGTTTCACAGCTGGAAAAATAATTAAGGATATATGTTATACTTATCTCTGATGTTTTGTAAAAGTTAGAAAATGATAATTAGCAAAAAATTTTTAGCGTTATTATATTTCATTTCATTCTAAATTACATTTTGTTGAGTATTTTATTATTTTTACCAATAGATGACATCAAAATAATACAATATAATTCGATGTTGAATGTAAAAATATGGCTTACATGGATATGAATCAATTTAGATAATTTTACAAACCTTCAAAGTTCACACCTACTTCGATGTACACAAAGATAGTATTTAATACTATTTTTAGTTCGTTTTAAAAAGTTGAGGTTACCTATTTAAATTCGAAATAAATATAATATAAATTAATAATTTATAAATGAATGAAGTTGTAAAGTAAAGAAATATTATTACAACTAAACTACACATCCTACTAATAATACATATTTAATAAATAGATGGAATAAGATCAAACTATATTGCGAGAATAAAAAAAAGTAAAACAGTTTTAGATCATTGTGAATCGGATAAAGAATATGAAAAGTCTAAGGGCAACATTTTACCATATATGTTGCAGATTGAAATACATCATTTGTTCCGGTCTTTGCACCAATGAGGGTCTTTCTGGTTACAATAGAAATGGACCACCATAAAAAGCAAAAAGTATGTTCAAATTATATTGTTAAGGCGAGGCTTCGCTGAAGCAGAAACTCAGAGTTAAAATTATTTTATTTACATCCTAGATATGAAATTGAAAGTAGATAAGTATTTTAAGTACAATTTAAGAAGTGTACACAATTCAAGAATGAATGGATTATTTCTTTTTGAAAAAAAAAATTTTTGTTATCATTTTTATGAATATCTATTCACTGTGAAATCTTGTTTCATCTAATACTTTTTGGTGTAGGACATTGATTTACTACAACATTGGTCATGTATATTTTGATTGTTTTTTACAATGAGAAGAACTAAATTTTGGTTTATTTAAACATTTAAATTAAAGAATCACTTTAACTGAAGCACACATCAGAGTGATATATATTGGAGAAGCGTAGGAGTCAAATAGTACTTCTCGGAAACGTGGTTAAATGAAAATTTAGAAAAATCTGAAATACTAGATAATAATAAATTTAATATCTCCATATCTGCTCATAACTTGAAAGCTTCTAATTGTAGTTAAGGCAGTGGAATTATGCTAGCAGTTAGTTCTGGTATACTTGCTGTAAATCTAAAATTACGTGATTCTGACTTTAAATCAATAACATCTGTCGGCATCGTTAGTGTTAAAATATCAGTACACTTTAGTCATTTCGATGTTTGTAATTTACGTTCCTTCAAATATCTCTGCTGATGTTTATAATTCAATATTTGCTTCATTTTGTTCTGTTAATTATACATTTGATTCCGATTTTCTTATCCTCGGTGACAACAGACCTGCATCGCCTGTACTAGAAACAATCTTAGACATAAAAAATTTCATGAATTCAAACCAATATAATAATATATATATATATATATATAATATATATATATATATATATATATATATATATATATATATATATATATATGTATATATTGTTTTTGAAAACGAGTATAAATTAAAAAATAAAATATTTCCCTAAGATTTAGAGAAAAAAAGTTTCTCATTTCAAAGATTTTATAGAATTTATAAAATGCGTGTACGACCAAACACGATATATAGATTTCATTTGTATATCTTATTCATTAATACTTCACACATTTTATTTAAAAATTAATCCTTAAATATAAAATATAAATTATAATATTAAGAGGAAATTAACACTTGTAAAAAAATAATGTTCAGATTTAAAGAGACAGCAGAAATCATTCTTTGAATATGTAGGTGGAGGTACAATGAGATGGATTCGTCATAATCGGTATAGCCTCTTATTTTATTATATTTTATTCAGTTCTTTATTCACCAAATCATTCAATTTACATCCAATATTTTAAGCCTTCTTCGTATTCATTGACTGATTTTCAAATAACATTATTTTTATAAGAAATAGATGGTTATTAATAACTAACAATCGTCTGCAAATGTTACATTTGCTTTAAAAACTGCCAATTATTGCATCTTTATATCTTACAATTGTTGCATTAAAATTAGCAATTGTCTTTTTAAATATAACAACTATTAGATAAGATGTGTCAAGGTATCCATAATTTTATTTTGAGTTATAGGCTTTTGATCGCTTTCTTACAGAAATCTACGCATCATAAAACAACAGAGCAACGATGTAATATCATGAGAGAACCCTAAGAACATAACTGCAAAGTAATGAAAATTTATATCCAATACGTGAAACTGCCCATCTGTCTTGTCCTAAAAATAATTGCTGGCAGATTTTCTATACGCTCTTTTGTAGAATTTCGTATCAGCACAAAAGAGTCGTGTTCTATTTCGTCAATAGTCGGTAAAAGTGAAATTGATATGTAAGTTAATAGTAATAATAATAGTAATCGTTTTTATTAAAAATAACTTTCATATAGGCGATGTTTAGCTTTAAAATATTGCTTTTCAGACTGCTTTTGATGAGGACAAATTATAGTATCTGGAGAAGTAAAATATCTAGATGTAATCCTACACAAAAATTCAACTTTGGTGTCAAAAAACAAAAGATAAAATAGTACAAAACAAGTTGCTAAAGTGCAACGGTTAGCATGTCTGGGAGTTTCAGGAGTCATGAGAACATGTCCAACAGCAGCAATGATCTGCTCTATTTACATGCATGTAAAGAAGGAAGCAGCCCTCAGCGATCAAAAACTGCAATCCACAAGCAAATTCAAACCAGGATATCTCAGTATTCTGAATGAGTTTCAATTAGTTTTAATTACCAAACCTACGGACACAATTCCAGCGATGTTCGATTTTGAGCAGATATTTGATTTGATTATAACTGATTGCCAAATATATGGATATGGAGCTCTGGACGACCCAAATTTGAAAACGATTCCCTTATTTGGTATACAGATGGATCAGAGATGAAGGAAGGAATAGGGGTAGGAGCATATGGACCCAAATGTAGGCTTTCAAGAGCCTTAGGCCAAATTCCCAAGATCTTTCAGGAGAAAATTTACGCCATAGAAATCGGCGCTCGTGATTGCATTAAAAAAATGCACACCAGGAGCAAGAATATAAATTCTCTCAGACAACCAAGCATCACTTAAATGTTATAAGTTTCTTTACTCGTAATTCAAACATAGTCTGGGAATGTCTACAAACAATAGGGGCTTGGTAGCCGAGTGGGTAAGGTGCTTATAGCTATTTACTCGATAAGGAATAGCGATGGATTGAGTCCATCCCGGAGCAAGTTAGAAATTTTATTTGTAATTTATTTCGGATTAAGATGGGAAAGAATTGTCGATGCCCTAGCTGTAGTTCGGACTCCACAATAAATTGTAGGGCTTCGTCTCTCTTTACTCAACACAAAATCCTAGCATTTGTTGGGAGTTACTTCGGTGACTTGAGAGGTGGTTAAAAAAGCAGCCGGCAAGGAATAACAAGTTTACCTTGATATAGGTGGCAGGGTATGAAGGAACAGAAGGGAATGAGATTACTGATAGCCTCGCGAGGAAAAGTGCAGTATCATCGGAGCATATCTCTTATGTGGAATATTTAAAAGCCACACAATAGACGAGGTCAGCAAATGGAAACCGGAACATAAATCCTCCTAATGGAAATTAAGGTAAAAGACAAACGAAGAAGAACTACTCAAAAAAGAACTAGCAAACCCGAACTAAGGATAATGACAAACCGTCTCATTATTACCCACTGAGATACCATCTCAAAAAAAATGGGCAAGGCTGAAAGCGGACATATACTTTGCTAATACAGGGGCTACGACATTTGGAGCTGGTATCCACGACATCTGCCGAAGTGGGAACCTCAACCCCAGGAAAGTCTTCTTCAGAAACAATCGATGAGTACATATAGATATAAGGGCTATCACAAAAGATCTTTTTATACCGCAGTGAAGAGAGGCCACTAAGGCCTTAACGAACCAGTCGCAATCTAATCTAAACCTATATAATGCAGAATACCAGAAAATAATTTCAAGCATACAAATTATTGACGAAAATTAGATGTTAAATGTTTCAGCATGTTCAAATTGTGTTTCAACCTAACATAAGGATTGTTCTAACAGCAGTCTCGGACTAGTTTGAAACTGTCATTTAAGTATTAATGTAAATACAGTGAGCTTAGCGTATAAGAGACAGCTGAGTGATTATTTCTGACGGTTCCAAACTGACCCGAGACTGCTCAAACCATAGGCGATATACAAAATTTCACAAATTTTACTTATTGGCAACCAGTTAACAATTTTTTTTTTTTTTTTTAGGTAATCTGTCAAATTTTCGTAATCCAAAAATTAACCGGTAACATGTATTTTGAAATTTCTTCTATACAATTTTTAGCAACTAAAGCCAGGCAAAGACTGCGAAAAAATCAAAATAATTAGATAAAGAGAGAACAGAAGACAACCACATCGTGTTTAAATTAAAGCTTATGTTTATTACATGGCGTTAAGAAATTTTTAGGCACAATGTGATTTTTAACTGCTGATATGACCTACAAACCATAACTGCGTTACAAAGTAATAATGAGCGTCATCAAATCATTCTGCGTTACAAAGTAATGAGCGTCATCAAATCATTTTGAATAAAACTAATTTTATAAAAGTCGAAGAAATTATTTCAACACCAATATAATAAACAAACTTCCTCACCCCTTGATACCATCAGATGCCATTTTATAACCATTTCCCCCCTCTCACTGAACAAAATGGCTAACAAATCTGATCTTTTTTGCTTCTAGTATATTTTTATTTCTTTCCACTTTGAAATGGCAAGGAAGTTCCCTTAGATATAACACTTGTACAATCTTCATTATCTGAAATAGTGTTCCAATACCGTACTATATTCTGCTTTATAAACATTGAAACCAATGCCTGACGTAAAGTCTTATATTCAGAAGCTTTAGTTCCCCCCTGGAGGATATTAATTCACACAAAATAAAATCTTTCTCTGTTTTGTATCTACATTTATATAAATTCCATATAAATTTAGTTATAATAAAAATAGCAAAATATGTTTTTGATAACACCATATTGGTGGTTATTATTTTTTATCCAATATATATAATTCTTATCTATTGCATGATAACAATAATACTTAATGGCTAATGAAATGAATGATGATAAACCTTATCATTATCAATCAATATGTTTTAATTCAGATATATTTTTTTTTTCATCATTATATCTACGAAAAATCATCATGGTTAAATAATTATTATTATGTAAAACTATTTTATTATAACTTAATGTGTTTGATGATAACTCAGAACTGCGTATTGCAAATTTTCGATCTGAAATATATGAAATTATAAAAATTATTTTATAAATCATACAGGGTGTCCCAACCAAAAGTAGGCACCTTGAATAACTTTAGAGATAAATTTTTTTTGAAAAATTGGTGAAACATGTCGACCTTGCATTCAAGGGAGACACATTTTAATATAATATTTGTATACCTATCATCATCCCTCTACCCTACACGGTCACCCCCTCAAAAAATTCAAATAGCAAAGGGGTCGAGTGATACATCTTTTGAAAGGTCTTTCAATTCTCTACATAACTGTGTATTTTTTAAAACTTTTATCGATTCGTTCCTGAGAAATAATTGTTTCATTATTTTAGGTTCGGGAAATTAATATAATAGAAGGAGTTTAAATTATCTTATGTATTGTTCAAAATGACACCCACCGACTTCCATACAATAGTATAATCTGTCTTGAAATTCTGTACGAACATTTCTGAACACATCTGGAGTCAATAAACGGCATTCTCGAACAATTCTTTCACGTAGTTCTTCCAGAGATGCGGGTTTTGTTGCAAATACCTTCGATTTCAAATATCCCCACAGAAAGAAATTCAAGGGAGTTAAATCGGGTGACCTAGCGGGCCACTCCACAGCACCTCTTCTTCCAATCAATCGTTTAGGAAACCGATTATCCAAAAATTGACGAAATGCTATAGCAAAATGTGGGGGTGCCCCATCCTATTGAAAAAACAGTTCGGCCTCTAGAAGATTATCGTCTACTTCGAGGATTTGGATAATCATTGGATCGATGTTATTTTCTAACAGATCGAGGTACCTTTCGCCATTTAAATTGTCAGGAATGAAAAACGGCCCGACAATGAGATCCCCTAAGATGCCAGCCCAAACATTTAATTTCTGAGGACTTTGGGTATGAGTTTTCATGAACAAATGTGGATTAGTTTCACTCCAATACCTACAATTGTGCCTGTTTACCTCCCCATTTAACTGAAATGTCGATACATCAAAAAACAAGTATTGCAAAGTAGATTGGCATTACCGTTTAATTGTTCACTAACAATCTCACAGAATTCAAGCCGACGATTGGGATCATCTTCGTTTAATTCGTGTACCAATTTAAATTTATATGGAGGAAATTTGTGGGTCTTTACAATTCGATGAACACTGCTTCGTGATACACCGGAAGCCTCAGCTACATTCCTGATCGATTGAGTATTATCCATCTGCAAATGACCCAGAACTACCACTTCGACTGCTTCATTCCTAATCAGTCGCTGAGGTTCATGCTTTTTATTTCCTACAGAACCTGTTTCCATAAATTTTGTCAATAATTGTAAAACATACTGAGAACCAACCCTTCTATCTGAGTGACTTCTATTGAATATGCGCTCCGTAGCTCTAGCACAATTATCGTTTTTAAAATAAATTCTGACAATTTCTATTCTCTCCTGAAGGGTATAATCCATTTTGAGAACTCACTCTGGTAAAATGTATCTCGATTTAAAATTGGTTGTGAACAAATTAATGTTCAAGGACTATCAAATACTTATGAATCTTTTAAACTCGTGTTGATTTGAGAGCACTAAAAAACATTGTTTTTTTATAAATTCCAATACCCAGTGCCGTGTATTTTAGATTTTTTAAACGATTTCGATTGTGTGTAATCATCAAAAATAAAATTATTTTCCTTAAGAACGAAACGATAAAAATTTAAAAAAAATACACAGTTATGTAGGGAATTGAAAGACCTTTCAAAAGATGTATCACTCGACTCCCCTTGCCATTTGAATTTCTTGAGGGGGTTACCGTTTAGGGTAGAGGAATGATAATAGGTATACAAGTATTACATTAAAATATATCTCCCTTGGAAACAAGGTCGACGTGTTTCACCAATTTTTCAAACAATTTTTATCTCCAAATTTATTCAGGGTGCTTACTCTTAGTTGGGACACCCTGTATAATGCTAAGATAAATAAACCATGAATTATCGTAAACAAATTTTATTTTTTGTGTCATCGGTTTCAAGAATCTAAATTTCTTGCATACATTTAAAGTTGTTAAAGCAATGTGTTGTTATTATTTTAGTACTAATATTCAGGTGCATAAAAAATATTTGGAACATTCCAAAAAATGCGGTCTTTAGTTATCACTTATCCTGTGCCTAGAACTATGTGAGATATATATCAGATGCATCTAAAAATATTATTTGTTATTTTAATAACTTAAATAAGTCAGGTTTATCTCTTTAGACAAATTATTTATTTTGCAACACTAAATCCTGTATTTTATTATGTAAAAAAAATGTTTATTTAATAGTCTGAAAAATATGTTTATAAAATTATGGGTGCTTTTTACTTGCTTTGAAGTCTAACTTTTCTTTTCAACTTTTCTGCTTCATCAAAGTTTTACAATTTCCTCAAAGCAATCCTAATTTGGTGAGAATAAGCTGTTAGATTTTTTTATAAAGATATGTCAATTAATGGCCAAAGTTTGTTGCTTCGTAAACTTTTCGAACAAACCTAAAGGGTGTGTCGTTCTTTTAATTTATAATTTACTATGTTTCAAAGAAGTTGTAATATTATTATCGTCACGATTAAAACTAAATTAAATTAATTTTACATTTATTTCGAGTGCTATTTAGCATCTCTGTAGTTGTACAGATATAATACAATAATTATTTTTAATTAAAAAACGGGGTGATTCATATTTCTACAACTCATAACAACTAAACCATTACGGATATAAATATGAAATTTGGAATATCACTACTATATCATATATGGGCTGAGACTGTACTCTTTCTGGGTTTTCGCGACTTTCAGTTTAACCGAAAATGGGGGCACTTTGCTTATTTTAAATGGAACACCCTATATATTTTTACATTACAGCAAGAAGTATTAATTCTGGTTAAATTAAAGATGCATACTAGGGGGCGATCTTAAATATCTAAAGCGATACAGAGTGTTTAAT